TGTACCACAAAATTGCAGATCTTTACCAAAAAACGAAATGATCTGCGTTACACAACTTTGAAAAATCCCTGACTGAAATAACTGTAAACCATTTTCTTTCTCATATGCTACTCATACAATTCTACGGGGGACTTAACAGTCCATTACTATATAGTTATCCAATAATTTCTATTTTAATAATATTCCACTATTTTGAAACCTATCTATTTACCTACTAATAATTCTTAATCATTGGAATAAAATTCAATAACGATTATAAATTAAAAAGTTAAATTTGCTCAAAATCACGAAATAATAATTTTTGCTACAATTAGTCTAAATTTTAATATATCATATAGCATGACCTTTAGACTCATATTCAACTATTTAATTATAAGCTTCCTTTTATGCACAGCTACTAGCTTTGATAGGTCATGAAAGCGATATTTAAATTAAATTCACAGCTTTGTTGGTCGTTCGGTTCACTTACAAGTATATATGGTAATATAATAAAAAGATGTGAGTTTTCTTTTTTTTGAATTCCAATAAAGAATCTTCTATATAAAGTCTTTAATGCGACATAAGCTTTAAACCTTTTAATAATTATTAGCCACAATCAAAATGTCTTCCGATGAAGAAAAGTACATTAAAATGCGATTTCAAGCTTCATATGAGTTAAAAATTTCTTTGAAAAAATCTCTACAATTGTTCAATGAAAATGAAGATAAGCACGTAGCTATGGCCATTGGCCTCGTTAGATCTTCATTTAAGAAAGCAATTAATGATCTCAATGGCAATTTTTGCGAGTACACAAATAATCATAGAGATACACAAAAATTCCCTTTGGTAATTGAGTGTGAAGATGATGATAAAAAAAATAACAAAAGAAAATATTTAGCGGATGAATCAGAAGATGAAAATGAATCAATACATACCAAGAAAGCTAAATTGGGTAACTATAACAACCGTAAGCTTTTCATTTATCGGATTCATTCACATCCAAGGAACTTAAAACTATTCATCACGAACTAATAAAAAATTTACTTAAATAGAGTATTTAGAAAAAAGTGTGGAAGATTCAAATAATTGTAGAATGCTAACTGATGGTAACTATAAAAATTATAAATCATATTTGTTAATCTTTCACGTATCAAATTAAAATAATTGCATAATTTTTACTTAATTTATTGTTGAAGCGATAGAAAATTTACCACCCATTCCCAAAATCAATAACACTTTGTTTGCGGAGATGGCAACATGCCGTCTCTTGCATAAAAAGTCTTGGGAAACTCTAGAATTTCTAGGGGACAGAGTACTTACGTATTGTCTCTTTAAAATAATGGGACCAAAATATCTTAAAGACCATTATGCAGATACGATTGGATTAAGTGTAAGATGTATTACTACCAATAAAATTTTGGCTGCATATTCTATCAAACTTGGTATACATGAATCCAATGGTATGACATGCTCAGAAATAAAGAAGCGTCATGCTGATGCACTTGAAGCATACTTCGGTGCATACTATCTTATAGATGGGGAAATAGCCACTTGTAAGTATCTTGATAATTTAATGACCCCGTTATTAGATTTAATAATTGATAGTATTGCATCAGGAAATAAAGGAATAGAAAATTCATATAAGATAGCTGCTGAATATTTTGCGATGCCATGGATTCAAGATGGCAAACGTTTGTAGTTTTTCTAACTTTTGCAATACTGCATATATCTTTATGTTTATTATAGTTTTGTAAGCTCTTGGTTATACTATTTAATAAATACTATATTTATTTATTAACTCAATAGTGATATGTACGTATGTACGTACTTTCCGATCCGGAGCGTATTACGTAAAGTGATACAAAAGTTACGTTTTTGATACATTTTGACCAAAATGGTTAAGTTTTTATTGCATCAGCATAAACACTATGATCATATCAAAAACGTAATTTGGAAAATTTTTGTCGGTCACGCCGCGTATCTAAATTTGTATTTTGATGCAACAAGATAAAGCGTCGCACAAATGTAAATGGGGGTATGGTTATTAAATGTGGAGGTTATGAAAATTGGCTCTCGAACTTTATTACCATGTCTTATAATTTTCTAGTGAAAATTTTTTGAATCCAATTTATTAATCTCATCGCAATACGTCTATATTTATATTTATAATTTCTATAATTGGCTTTTTAAAAATTAAATATACAAACCAGGTTAAGTCAATAAACATCTTCAGATTAAATATAAATTAAAAGCCTAAAAGCCTCAATAATAAATCATTGTTTTAATAATCTTCACTTCTTTTTTTTCTTTTTTAGTGGGAACTCTAAGGCTCCGTCACTTCAAGTTTAAGGCTTCGACTTTCGACAGAGGTTTCTTCATTTAAAGCCTAGGTTTCGACTTTCGTCATCAAGCAAAAAAAGGTTTCGTCTAACAATTATAGGTATACATTTAGTAACAAACTATCATGTACTAAATCTTGGTCATTTGCTATTCTCCTCATAACGAAGTTGCGGAAGTATAGAGGTCATTGTGTCAATATATGCAAAATATTTGTTAAATTTGTTAACAATACTTATTACCATTGAGCAGTAAATAAACGATCAATTAACTTGATTAATTGTATTTATAATCTCGCAACGAGTTTATGAACATTTCTTTTGCAATAAATAACAATGAATGATATTTTGTACAATTTAATTAAAATTTAATGAGTTTGATCCGAGTATACATCAAAAATATAGAGTTTTACAAAAATATAATGATACAATAAAGTCTTTCTGATAAAAAAAAAATCTTTTTAAATTCTCATTTAATGTTTTTTTTTTTTAAAAAAAAAATCAATTATATATCTATTTTTTTTTTGATTACAGTAGGCTTAGCAATGATCTATTTTGAAAATAATCCACAACGTGATTTATAAATAAAAACTTTTTAAGAAATGTCAAAAAGAAATTTTACTATGATATTACTTCAAAATTAATCATACAAAATCAATATCATTCTGTTGATATTACATACTAGAACTATTTAATATCAATCAACTATTATACCTATTACAAATAATTTGCTAAGTAAAAAAAAAATGGACCAAGGATTTTATTTAGAGCCTTATACCTCAATTATTATTGACTGTTTATTGCATTATTTAAATTATTATTTGCCTTTAAATGTTACTTGCACTGTTTTTTATTATTAGCCATGTCCGGTACGCTTTACTTCGTTGATGTCTTTCCTTGGGCTTTACCGCCGTTGTTGGGGTTTGCATTATTAGATGAGTCTTTAGCGACGCTGCTGGGCATTTCATTATTAGATGTGTCTTTAACGACGCTGTTGGGCTTAGCATTATTAGTTACACCTTTAACGACGCTGCTGGGCTCTGCATTATTAGATGAGTCTTTAACGACGCTGTTGGGCTTTGCATTATTAGTTACGCCTTTAACAATGGTGGGTTTTGCGTTATTATTTGATTTTTGAGTGGTGCAGGGCTTTTCATTGTTTACATTATTATTAGTAACGGCGGGCTTTGCGTAATTAGTAGTGACGGCGGGCCTTGCTTTATTAGTAGTGGCGGCGGGCCTTACGTTAATAGTAGTTGCCGCGGGCCTTGAGATTTTAGTAGTGGCGGCGGGCTTTACATTATTAGCAGTGGTGACGGCAGGCTTTGCGTTATTAGTAGTGACGGCGGGCCTTACGTTATTAGTAGTGGCGGCGGGCCTTACGTTATTAGTAGTGGCGGCGGGCCTTACGTTATTAGTA